AAAAAAAAAAAAAAAAAAAAAAACTTATCTAATTTGTGTGATGAATTGAGACCACGTGTAAATGAGAGTCATTCGGTGAATAAGAAAGATAACTAAGAAAAACTTAAAAGGAAATGAAAGTTACTACTTATACCAACATAGTGCACCTTACTTTTTTATGGCTCAATTATAGGAACTCTGTGATTAAGTGTGTTTTACTTTGAGTATTGCTATGTTGAGTGACTTCTTAGGAATTTTTCCGAGATGCATGTGTGTGAAGACAAAACATGCTAGAAGAACTCGTGTTAGTTTGTAGGGATAGTCTTCACTTTTAGAAAGCGAGAAATAGGCAACGTGATCATATTGCAGGAGAATGTCAGGACCATTTGAATCTTAATCTAAATTTTGAACACGGGTCATTACAAGAAGTGACTTACAAAACAATGGAGACTCCACACTAGTGTAATGCTCGTCACACACTAGTTCTCTATTGAATTAGGTTCAAAAGGTAGGTCAATCGAAGGAGACTTGGGTCGATGTCTTCCAAAAAGCAGGGTATGTTAGGGAAGATCTTGAGTTTGGTTTCAGGTCGGTGTCCATGAGTTTTGTTTGGTTGGTAATGAATCCATCATGCCTCCATTTTATCCTTAACATTGCATATTACACAAATTCCTTATATTTACATTATAATTTCGAAAGTAATTAAAATATGAGAAGTCAGGGGGCAAATTGGTCATAAAGAAACAAAAGAAAAGTGAGTCAAAGAGTACTATTTCTGGTCAAAGCAACCGTCGGGAAGGAAGGACGTTGTTGTCACCAAATTTCATCCATCTCAAAGAAAAAAACATCATTACAGAATCTTTTTAATTTTTTTTCTTCTTTTATTTTCCTCCAGTTATTATTTTTATAGTTTAAAAGCGAATTATGCAATTTATTATTTTTAACATCACAATAAATACGCTATCTTCTAATTTTTCATTATAAAAACGACTATAATGTTGTTTAAGCATTAAAGAATATTTGTAAAAGTGAATTGAAAAAAGAAATAATAATAAAGTTATTTAAACAGTGTAATTCATTTGCCACAAATTATGACAAGATACAATAATTAATTAATTATATTAAGTAGGGTTAGTTTTGTGTTCATAAATTTCATTTATTGGGTGACAGCTTTTTTAGGCACTTTCATGAGAGAATTTTCGTCCATGGGTCCATGGGTTTGGACTTACGTTATGTGGCTTCCACAAAGTAGTTTGAATTGGGTTTAAGTGCTAATATAAAGTCAAGAAATGGAAATGAAAATTCAATTTTAAAAGTGTTGAAGATAATGTGTTTGAGGGCTTGGTATCGACTTTTAAGCGATCATAAATTAGAGCAAGCATCGAATGAAAGTGAGATTTTGAGTCAATCTAAACATAATTCAGTCGATAAAAAATGCCAATTATCATCTCAAAAGTTGATAGTTCGGTCTCAAACTCATACGATCAAAATTAAACAGAGTTTTGAGTGAGATTTTGAGTCGATCTATTAAAAAATACTAATTACCATCTTAAAAATTGATAATTCTATCTTGAACTCGAAAAACCAGGGCGACCTTGGTCTCAAAGACATGCTATTAAAATGGACTTCGCTAAGTAGAGAACATACCTGTTGTGGACCAAATCCTTAAGAGTATAACATCCGTTCAAAACTCACTATAACTTGAGTTTGCTCAAATCAACTTTCTTAACTGGGTAGGTGTAAGCTTCGTAATTTATCTGCTGTCCCAAGCTACTTATCTTTGTCAAAGTAGTTATTAGATCGACCTGAAAGAATAGGTCATAAAGCTGAGTATAAGAATTCGAGGTGAAGTCAAAATATACATAGCATGAGAATCCTATTCATGCCCACTAAAAAAGGGTAGAAATCTCAACATTCTCACATCAAGACTAGTCTTTAGATTTATCCACATTAATTCTGACTAGAAAAGAAATAAATAATTATGCACTGACCTCATAATCAGTCTGAGATACTGTTTCACGGCTTCGTTGATATTTTTGAACCCATGGAAGAACATCTGGATCTGAGGCTAAAAATTCTTCGGTTGCTGCCTGATCAGGACCCAAAAATGCAGACAGCACAGCTAGCTGTGTGCATCACCAAACGAGGTTTTAGCATTCATTCACTAAATAATATACGCTAACAATTGCATCTGAACATAATTTCAGGGTCCTGCATCTTTGTACCTCATTCATCATACCAGTTCTTTGCATTATACCGTGTTATAAGAGTGATAAACTTTTCTTTAGGTTTTTAATATACTTGCCTACATCAACCAATTAAGTTTTTTGACATATATAATCCGCAAGAAATATATGGACATATTACATCTTGTAAGGCAGAACAATATTTCAAATGGAACTTTAAATTAAGGAACATACCTGTCGTGGACCAAATCCAATAGCAGAGAACTTTTCTTTCATTTCCTGCACGCTAGCTTTCCCCCAGATGGGAACCCTTCCCTCTGGATCAGGCGCTTCAGCATCTGATCTTCCAAATTGCCTATCGAACAAGCCCCACTGTAGGCACAAGGAGACATTGTTGTTTGGGTTATGCCCCAAATAGTAAAAGTTTGCCAAATGTCATGTTCCTTTTTGACACAAAATTCGTTGCTGCATAAGCGTAGACTACAATATTCAGAATAAAGTATCTATTCTCTATCCATTTGGACAAAGACAGAGAAATGGTCAACCAATTAGAACAAGAAAAGTAGAGGATCCTTAGTTCAACTCAACCAAATTTCATACTGAAAAATTTAGTTCACTCAACAAATACTTCCATAGAAAGCACTTAAGTAGGTATAATTATTTTGACAGCTATAAATTAATACGAGTAATTCTAGGTATCCACACCAATCGTATTTGCAACTAAATAGTGATGACTTAAGCATGTCCCTCAATTGAGTTAGCACAATCTTATGTTGTTTATAAACAGATGCAAGAAACTCGTTTTCACGATTCTTTCAACTAACTTTGGTAGGCATTCTTTTTTAATAACCTTATTCGCTCTAACATCCCTTGACAAGATCAAATTGATTGCATGCCTTTTGTTGCCTAAGAACGCAGCAGATTCAAGAAGAAAGGTGGTCTTTGAAAATCAAACCATAGAGGATTGTCAGCTCAGAAATACAGTATCACTAATGGGAATATTATTATGCCAACCCTCTAGTTGAACTGCCGAGAGATCTTACTCGGGCTCATTCTAACATCCAGGGTGGGTGGATGCTAAAGTGAAGATCTCTCGGCAGTTCAACTAGAAGGAGATCTACTGACACAATTACGCAGGCTCATGCATGTACTAGATGAGTATATTTGTGATAACCATTCAGATATCCATGCAGCATAACAGACCTGCCCGTTGGAACCATACGCAGTATATAACAAATTTCCCTTTTCTTCATTCCCGCCACATTTTCTGATGGCAGCAGCTAGAAAGGTGGATTTAACGGCACTTTGTGCTGCATGGAGAAAATGAACTCGATCTCATTGATAATATTGATTCAGAAAACGCACTAGCATTAATAGAATACACAAATACGGATTCAGATCACTATCAACTCCTATTCCAACTCACAACTTAGCTAATTACCGGCACCATTTTAATTTACTAAAAAAAGAAAGAAAAAAAGGTATCAGAAAGAACTTGACCAATGAATTGAAGAAGTCCAGAGATGGGAATTGTTAAGCCATTAAACCTGCGAATTGAATAAGATCTGCGTAGGAAATGGGTCCACCCTTTGAGTATGAATCTATCTCCTTCTTGGCTTCTTCTAATAAACTCAGGGCAGCAGAAAGATTCTCATTTTCAGGTCTGGAAATCTCTGAACTTCATGGAAGAAAGCATGTAAAAGAAGTTAATATATTTTATAGTGGAGAAAGTGCTAATGTGTTACTTTATACAATTGATTAGCTAGTTGAATAGCACTAAATTACTTGATGCTAAACAGTACAATACTATGTGATGGCTGAAAAGAATTGGAACTATAAAACGAGGAAGGATAATGATTTAACACCAATAATACTATGTTCATAAAAATATAAAAAAAAAAAAAAAAAAACCCATATTTGAGAAGCGTTTGTGAATCATCAATAATGCACGAATATGGAAGTTAATGAATTATTTCTCAGCTAGAAGGAAATGGCATCTAAAATGTAGCACCTGAAGCGGATGGATCCATTTGGCCCTCCAGATTTAGTAGCCTACAAACTCAATCAAATTTTATTAGCGTATTCCTTCCAATCTATTTAGTTTGTCGATGCAATAAAATTAAATCCAGTTATGGAAATTCTTAGAGCGGAAGTATTTTTATCTGACCTTGTCATAAGTCACAGCATCATTTAGTGCCAATGTTAAAAGCGAGGGTACAATGTCCGGACTTTTCTGAGATAAACAAAGAAAACAAAGGGGATGAGTATCTTCTCAAAGGACCAAGTGTCTGATTATAAGAACATAGATCCAAAAGTGTGCAAACTAAAAAAGGTATCAATCTATCAGTTTGAGTCTAGTAATGATTTATTGGATTTATACCTTAATAGCCGTATAAAAGGTCCCCTTGATACTTGCTGCAATCAATATTGTAAAAGCAAAATAAGTAATAGAGGCATTTGTAAGAATGTAAGCACTTGAATTGAATACAATACCTTGCATTGTTTACAAGAAGTTTCAACCACTCGGGAATCGTAACATCATTTCCAAAAATGAAAGCAAACAATCGACTGGAAAACAGTAATGCAGAGCAATATAACTTACATAAAAATTCAGATCGCTGTCTGCGCTGTATTAAATCAGCAGCATAAGCCGGCTCCACCATTAGGTCAGAGTTCACCATTAATCCCTAAGAAGAGGTCGCAACTGGCAGAAACTCATCATCACTTAATTCTAATTCATTCGAGCTCAAATAAATTTCTAAAATAAGCGTTTGACCGCTCACTCTCTTCTTACATAATGAGCAAAAGCAGCTAAACTAACTCGTATCCTTAATACTTCGTCAGAAAAAACGAGTAACACTTAAAGCACTGGTCGAATTAGTTCACTCGTCAAAGAAATTTCTCGTAGTACGGAGAAAAGAATGTGGAAATTCACAGAGAAAGAGAAAGAAATGGCTCTCACCAGGGCAAGAGTACCACCAAAACCTTGAAGAACATCTCTTCTACTAAACTGCCGATCCTCATTGTTAGCATCCGTTTTGATCTGAGCACAACGAACTCTGACCTGAAATTTCACACAAAAGAATCTACGATGAGGCAGAAATTAGAAACGCATGATCAAAGAAACGGAAGACTTACAATGTGCGAAGGAGGAGAAAATGCAGTGGCGGAGGAGAGGGCGGATTGAGGAGGAACGAGAGTAGGAAAGGAAGTCAGGGACGAGAGGAAGGAGACTCCCATTGTGAACGAAGCTCTCTCTCTCTCTCTCTCTCTCTCTCTCTCTCTCTCTCTCTCTCTGTAACTCTGTGGAAGAAAGAAAATGGAAGAACGGAATGGAGCGAATGGACTAGCGAACAGAGATTCTGTGGCGCTATATTTGTGGAGGAGCGGGAGTTTGTAATCATATCCTGATCCGGACTGTCTTCCACGTCATTTGCCTTGGGTCCCACCATATTTTTATATTTTTCCCTTTTAAATTTAGTATTATACTATTTATTTATACCCTATAATCCTTTTACTTTCAAATTTTAGTAAACACATTCACAATATACATTTTCTTAAATAAAAATTATCATTAATTCTTTTTTAATGGAATAAATATTTACTTCAAATTTACAACACAATTTTGACACAATATCTCCCCACTCAAATAGGACACCAGCTAGGATACAACCTACCAATAATATCTAAATCTTGACAATAAATAAAATATATTACTCATCAAAAAGAAAAAATATTAATATCCAATAGGGGTGTACATTCAACCCGACAACCTGGACCATTTCGAATAAGATTGGGTTCATTTTTTCTGAACTCGAACATAATCGATTTGGTTTCGAGTTCGTGGGCAAAACCCTCAAGTTGACCCGATCCAAATAAAATATATTAAGAATCCTTCCGTATTCATGGATTTGCTAGTATTTAGGTTAGTCTAAGAGAGTTTGAATACATGTTTTTTATTTTGTTATTTTATTATTTTTATTTAAAACTTAAAAAAAAAATTGACAACCCAACCCAAAAATATAGGGAAATCCCTCAAACAGGATGTTATTTTATTATTTTTATTTAAAACTTAAAAAAAATTAACAACCCCGAATCCAACTCAAAAATAGAGAAATCTCTCGGCCCAACCATATACATCTTTAATATCTGAGATATATTCCAATATCTTAAGATATATTTCAATATCTTGACTAATTCAAACTAGCAATAAGTTGAACTAAATTCCGACAAATTTAAGTATTAGATATAGATGTATGTATGTGTATGTAAAAGCTCAAAATAAAATGAGCAAAACTCGTGGAGTTTATTGATTATGTAAATTACAAGGCAACGGGAAAGTTGCATTATTCTCCTGAACCTGAAACAGCATCTCTCTCAGCAGGAAAACGTAGTGGTAACAAACCTAATTTAGCCTCTCCACTGACACACACCAACACATCAAAAACTACAAATTTTTCTCACTTAATATATACTTTTTTTTTTTTAATTATTTTTTATCTTCCAATGAATTTGATTGTTGTCTCTGACATAAACAATCCGGCAAAGGATTAACATAAAAGGCTTCTTCTGAACGGAACCTATCCATTCCTCTAGTACCTGAAATTGGGCCTTTTCTCTTCCTTGCAGATCCTTGCCTGCACAAAATAATTGTTTGCCTTTTCTTCAATCAAATATTAAACAAATGTTTTTCCTAAGATTTGTCGCAGAAATGTACCTTTGCTTATGCAGTTCAATGATTCGGGTGGCTAAGTTATCCCCTTCTTTCATGGTTCCTTGTTCAAGCTTGTCAAACAGCCGAACAAGGGCTTTCCTGTTTGGTCAAGTTTTAAAAGTTCAAAACCATTTCACAAAATGTGCACAAATGAATTCAAATTTATATCTACCAAAACCCTTGCCTGTCTGGTGATATTGTCCTCCTATGTCCGAGGAAACGGCGGTGGCCTTCAACTGCCCGAGCCATGTTCCCGGAATATGATGATATAAATACATAACTTTCAACAGATACAATGTAGTCCAGTGCAGCCATTTGAGATGCATGATGGACAAAAGGTTCGAGCTCCTCAGAGGATGCCAATAATTCCTGAATAATAGATAACAATGTCATTGCACAGTCTATTGATATAACAGTTTCTATAGTTTATTTCATAGCATGTGGTGACTGAATATGATCAATGCCCCCCTATGGTTTCCTAGCTTAAGGGTGAGTTTTAGATGACTTTGCAAGGGTGGAAGTGTAATAGTCAAAGCCCACCGCTAGCAGATATTGTCCACTTTGATCCGTTACGTATCGCCGTCAACCTCACAATTTTAAAACGCATCTACTAGGGAGAGGTTTCTATACCCTTATAAGGAATGTTTCGTTCCCCTCTCCAACCAATGTGAGATCTCACAATCCACCCCCTTCACACTGCCCGGTGTTTAACTCTAATACTGTTTGTAACAGCCTAAGTCCACCGCTAGTAAATATTGTTCGCTTTGGCCTGTTATGTATCGTCATCAGCCTCACGGTTTTAAAACGCATCTCCTATGGAGAGGTTTTTACACCCTTATAAACCCTTATAAGTAATGTTTCCTTTCCCTTTCAAACCAATGTGTGATCTCACACGAAGAGTAAGTGATTTTGAAACTACTAAATTTTTTATAAAAGAATACTTAAGAATTGCTTCTGGGACAAGCACTCAATTAGTGCTTGTAGAAGCAACACTCACTTTAAAACACTTTTTCAGAAGGCATTCCAATCTCATCCTAAATAAGGCCTTCATCTAAAGATAATAATACAAGAAGTGAAAAGTATCTAACAGTGTGGTATACCTTCCTCATTAACAAGGGATACCGCGATTGGAGATCCGACATGTGAGATTCACCCCCATATATGTCACCTGAAGCTATGTATATAGGAGTACTCGACGGGTATCCAAGAGCGTTTAGAAAAATTCCAACCTCTTTTGGAGTAAGGGGGCAACGCCCCTTGGATCTTTGTTCCTTTGGATCGATGTTTTTTACTTTCCAGTAAGATGTGTTCTCCCTGAAAGTTTAATTTATAACCAAATGTTAGGTATCAGACAGTCAGAAACTATATCGAGTCCTGCTAGACCCTCCATACCTAATCATCCTTAGCTCGTCAGCTTCGGCCGGAGACAAATCATGTGTGCATCCACTGAATGAGAGCATATCCTTCTCATACCGCAAATGTAAAGCAATGTAAGGACCATAAGACCTCATACGATCCACCAAAAGCTATGACAAATGAGATCCATTAATTTACAGGAAATATTTCAGAAGAACAGAAGTTACAAATTCATTTCTCCCCTGAGGGAAGAAAAAGAGAAGGCAAAAGAAATTAAGGCTTGTTAGTCAACCTTTCCCATAGCTTCAATTTTAGGTGCAAACCGCAATGCTTCATAACAAGCACGGCATCGCAGCTTCTGTATGTCAGATGGAAGGTTGTTATTTGCTAAGCGAGAATCTGACTTTGCAGCTCGAATAACCTGTGGGGGAAAATTAGAAATTAGCATTTGTAATTGTTGAGAAAAGGTTCGTGGGCAGGACTTTGTTACACTACCGGATAGTCTTTCCACATGCTAGCTATCTCATCCCGGTAGTAATCAACGCCAGACCAGCTTCTGAAATGCTTAACTGCTCTTGTAATGGTAGAAAACTCCTTAGGAAGATTCTTGATGACTTTAACATCATTGGAAAGAGAATTAATAAAATGGTCTTCATCAAAAATATCCGAGAATTTGCTGCATAACAAACACACATAAATTATAAAATTTCAGACAAAAAACAAAAGACGAACTAGAGATGAAAGAAATCTACCTAGAGTCTTTCCAAAATGAATGTTTGTCAAGTTCTGGAATCACAAGGGTTGCATTAATTATACGTGCTATAGCAACCATGTCACATATCTGCAATTTAAGAATGAGAAACAATCTTAGTCTCAAAAAGTGTACACTATTTTGTTTAATGGGTACATAGTATTATTCACCAAAGCTTAAGATATACGATGTGAAAACAGAAGCTGCAACTACTGCTTACGTACCTCAGTGAATTAACTTATTGGATTATCTCATACATAATGGATGAATACTAACTCAAATCTCTCTCTCTCTGAGATAGAAATACAGTACTAACACATACTCGTGACTTTTTAGAAAATTCATGAGATTATAAATTTTAATCTCATAAACTGATCTCGTTACTGGGATATTTCTAATATTCCCCCCATAATCATTTCATGTCCTCCCATAAAAAACGAGGGGTTTCTCCCATTAATCAAATTTCTCTCAAATGTATTGCTATTTTGTGGCTGCAAGAAAGTTTTTGTGACTTTATATGTTAGAGTGTATAATTAGACGTTTATTAGTCATCATAAGTAGGAACGCTTAAGCATTCCCCTGCTGTTTCAACCAAACACGTTTATCTATCACAAGCATTTAATCGACATTTTCTCCTAGAATCAAATTTACAAAATCGCATGCTCATCCATCATTAATGGACCTAATTTAAGAAAATCTTATTCATACAGACACAGGGGCCAGATCATGCGAGGAGAATGAGGAAGAAGGTACAGAGAGCGATTACAAACCCCTGCGCGCATTTGATTAAGCCCTCCATTCGCATGAACAAGAAGGTAACCTCTCGACTTTCCAGGAGCTGAGAATCCCCAAAACAAGGCAATAACATTAACAACAATAACAAGCATATACTAGTGTAAGTGCACCATAGTATTTTATTTCATGAAGAGAAACAAATAGCGATTCCGAACTGCCTTACATGAGTAATTAAGACTAGGCGCAGTGCAGGGAAAGAAATCACGATTTGGAGGAGGATTCCAAAGAGCATCCAAAGCTGAGGTCTGGTTGCCACAAGCCAACTTTCAGGTCTAAAGAAGTTAAAAGGCATAACTACTTCGCATTGGTATGATATCTACATCCATTGCAAGGTAGCAAAACAAGTGAAGCAATCGTCTAGTCCTCTATTGGGCAAGGCGTCAAGAAAAACAGGAAAATAAAACAAAATGCCGCTCCATTGATGGAATGAAGCATGACTATATAGTTTTTACCTTGTGAAAAAGACGGTGAGCCTTCGACCAACGAAGCGGTGCAAGCTCTTGTGTCAAGCTTTGCTCTGGAACCGGTCTCCGAAATCTTAATTCACCTTGCTACAGAAATGAAGAAGAAACTTAAAGAAAGCTAAAAGAAGTATCAATCAAAACAACGTTTCAACTAGACAATCTGCCTGACCATTTACGAAGAAAGAGTACGAAGCAAGAAAAAGTACTGAAATATAGAAATCGAGTACGAACAAATAAAGTTGATTTCGATTTCTGAAAAGTATGAAGA